TGGGATGAGCATGACGGGGCATTTGTGGCTCAGGGGGAAATGGACTTTGACTGTCAATATGCAAAATACTTTGAATTGTATGCAAGTTGCTTTGGATAAAAACAAAGCTAAAAGACACTTCATGACAAGAGCAAAACGGGGTTGAGAGGAAAGACTGGACAAGATAAGTTCACTAATAGAAAATCTTGTTGTAACTTTGTTCATGCTGCCCTTCTTGGCCAGGTCACTCTTGGAAAAGAGATTTTAATCTCGACGAGTCTTTTACCTGGTTAAATAAAGGATATATATATATATAAAATATATATATAATAATTATATAAAGCTTGAGGTCAAAGAATCCTTTTTAACTATCAACCTTATGGCTGCCATTCGAAATGTTATCGCAGTCTCAATATTTCTAGGTGAAAATATGATTCTGTATAAAGTGTTGTGGTGCTGTAGCATTTACTGCAATTGCAATAATAGTCAGAACATTCCCAATCAGTTATTTCTTTCAAAATCATACAGCCCTATTAAAAATCCACGTATACATTACAGAAATGGACCAAGATAAGGAACTTACAGCTTCTGAGTTTCTGCGCTCGGCCTCGACTTCTGCATCTGGATCGATCCATTGAGAGAGCTTTCCAACAATAAGAGTATTCCAATCTAGATAAAGCAAAATGGAAAGTTTAACATAGCATCAACTGAAAACTGATTAGAGTTTCTTATGAATCACTTGACTCAAAAAATATCTCAATAATAACATTATTAAATAAAATATATATATAAGCAAAGTAACAGATGAAAAATGTACTAATGTTACTTTTTATTCATTATTGCATCTTGGCTTATTTTATTTCATACAACTGTGATATACCGTGATTGTCTTCAATACTTGGTCTGCTTTATGAACCATTAGATTAAGATAATTAGGGAAAAATAATTATAATGTCTAGCTCTGACATTGCATGGAGAAAAGCCAAGATCTGCCAGGTCATGTCATGGATTTAATAGACGAAATACATTTGTTGACTTTTTAAAATATTATACATCTATTCCAAATAAATGTTCAAGCTATGATTTTTTTGAGTGGGAAAGTTTTTCTTCTTTTCATTCAAGAAACCTTAAGGGTCTGCAACATGTATTTAGACAAAGAAAGCTCAAAATTCCTCCATTGGTTTTCACTTCCCATACAATGTGAAAGTAGTTGCAGTAGCACTATAGGATTTTGTCTCTTTATTGTAATATAGGTTTTCACACTTGTTTTAAAGACTATCTATGACTTTAGGAGGCGTGTTTGTTTGAAACACCCAGCTTTGTGTTCATATTTTCCAAAAGAAATCCCAATCCATCATCGGCCTCGCACAGCATACAGTGGTGTACAGTATTTATGTTATTTGTAAAGCGTGTAGAATAGGTAAATGACTAATCACGCATGGCGTTATAGAAAATGAGAAGGAAGAATTAATAACCTCTGCCACACAGCAGCAGGTCAGACCGGGTATGGGCACCGGATCGGGTTTTAGCGGGCTCCAACTCAAACTCTCTCTTGAACCTCGAGTGGAACAGGGGCATGCACAGGAAGTCAAACCTGCGCAGCAAAGAAAGAACAGCGTTTTAACATCGGTATGCTTTATAACTACAAGTAGAGGTGATATGCTAAACAGTTTAGTCACATATCCTCCAGCCAGCTCACACAATACTATTAGGCAGGCCTATATGAATATTATAAACACTTCCCAACAATATGAAGCATCATTGTGATTGGGCACGTGTTGGTAATTCACCGGCTAGCTTAGCAAGCATCACGCATAGGCATGATGCTAGCATACCCGTGCACGGCATAGTGCCAGAAGACCACAGGTCACTCCACTAAAGCTAACTTGCACTTAAAAATGATTTGCAAAGCACAGCATTGTCCTTACCCTAGTTTGGCAACCGCAGCTAAGGTGTCAGCTACCTCCGGCACACAATTCAAATCTCTCCCGCAGGACACCCTGCTCCCGGTACTGCCACACGCCATGGTATTCGCAGAGTGAAAGGATTTTGCTGGGGCCCCCTAGTTGCTCTATCTTACGAGGAAACTGACGCCATCTTGGATCTGCACAGACGTAAATACTCATTGGGTAGCAAGATGGATGTATACCCAAAATGGCTGTGCACGTAGGACAGTTACATTTCTCGTAAAAGATCGCGATAACTGCTCTATAGTTTATGAACCCTGAACTTAACTGTTGCTGTTTTCATGTCAAAGCCTGTGTCCATTTATTAATTGTCTTTCTACAGAAATATCCTGCTCGTATTTTGTTTTCTAATACAGTTAAATATAGTAACTGTCACATTTAGTAATAATACAATATTTTGTCAGATTGATATTATAAGCTGAATTAGGCATAGGCCTATCCTCTAAATAACAAACGTTGTATTTTTAGCGAGAGGATATTCAATTTCATAAATTGCTTCAGTAGGCCCATAGCAAATATATTTTCAAAAAGCATCAAAATAGACTTTTAACCGGCCCCTGGAAAAGTGGCCCTCAGGCAAAGCAGGTTGAGCATAGGGCAATATTTTAGACTCCACAGGTCGCAGTATAAAAAGCAGGCTTTTTCAGAAGATTTTGCTGATACTGGTGGTTGGTGCCTTTTTTTAACTGCAAACTGAAAATGATGAAAGAAATATGTTCGAACTTGCACACACAACTAACAAGATGACTGTTATTCTGCAAAACGTATAAGGTGTGCAGAAAAAGGCTTCCCTGGATATTACTTTCACAGCATGGTGGGATAAAATATCACTTATGTCAACTCCAATGGTTTTGAAGATAGGCCTAACGTGTTTTTGAGCAAGGTGTCATATTTGGGAGGTCTATAAAAAGGGAAAAACCAAGGTCTTTCAGACTTTGTGTTAGATGAGAGTGAGTTTAAGTGGGATACATTACAAAAACAAAAAGGTTTCTGATGTTGTTTGACCAGTTTTTTTTATAGATGGACTCTGCTTTAATCTTTTTGTAAATAATAATTTTGTCCGCCTGTCTCTGGGAAAGACAATCTGATTAACCTATCAAGAAATCTATCTGTATTTTCCTAATTTTTAAGCTATGGCATTGGAAGACATCTGTGGTTTCCAAGACACTCCTTTGCATCGCAAGTGCTTTCCTGCCTCTCATTTTGAGGACACAGCCATCTCTTTCGACTGTTATAGCGCAGAATTTAGGGGACTGAAGAAATCTGGGAGAGACAGTGGGATCCCGCTGCAATTCTTTTTACCATCTTTGCCAAACTCTTCCCCTTTCAACCACAGATCTACATCCCATTTTTCACCATCCAAACATTCAGTGACGGTCCGCAGGCCTTTCCCTCTGTCTCATGGAACAACAACTTTGGGTTTCATCTTCCAAGGTGGGGTCATCGCAGCTGCAGACACACGTGCCAGTGCCGGGGGATTGGTTGCGTGTCCAGCTGTTCACAAAATTACCCCTATTCACTCCCATTTAGTAGTCACCTCCTCTGGGAGCGGTGCAGACTGCATGCTGTGGGAGCGAATTCTGGCCAGAGAGATCAGACTCTACCAACTCCGGCACAGGCGTTGCCTTTCAATATGTGGCACTGCCAAGCTCCTCTCATTCATGCTTCACCCCTTTAAAGGGACTGATGTGTGTGTGGCTCTTACACTGTGTGGCTGGGATAAAGAAGCAGGCAACACTGACTCATCCTTCATTACTGACAATAGCTCCTCTGCTGGTTTTAGTAGCCAAGATGTTTCTGCAATCGCGTATCCTTCATCCCCTAACAGGGGCCCAAAGCTGATTTATGTGTGCAGCGATGGTGCCCGATTGCAGGGGGACGTTTTTTCTGTGGGCTCAGGCTCTCCCTACGCTTATGGAGTCCTGGATGGAAGGCTGAGGTGGAACCTGAGCAAAGACGAGGCTGTCTCCTTGGCAAGAGAAGCAGTGTTCAGAGCCACTCACAGGGATGCCTACTCAGGAAACAACGTGGACCTGTTCCACGTCACAGCCCAGGGATGGAGCCGAAGAAAGAGAGAGGAGCTGAAAGAGGAATATTATAGAGACATGGAGAGGAGAACGAAGACAGTGGGGGAAAGAAAAAGAGAGACTGCATTGGATGCTTTGGGATAAAGAAAAACAAGGGGGGGTGTGTGTCATGGGAGGCTAATGTAGGGCTGCAGTTATATGAGAAAATCTAATTTCACAAAATGTCAGGACAGTATCACAACATCACCCAACAATATCACAATATTTTTGATCAAATAGCTTACCTTGATATCCCTATTGTGATAGTGTATGGGATGAGGCAAAAACAATGGGGTGTTCAGGAGGGCTAAAGCAGGGCTGGGTTGTATATGTACATCCAATATCACAACATTTCAGAACAATATCATAATACCATTTTTGACCGAACAGCTTACCTCGATATTGGTATTGTGACGATATTGTAGACATGACCATTGAAGCTTTCACACAATATTTGCACATTGAGTATTTAGATAAAATATCATTTTTTTGACTAAATGGTAAAAGCATGCATGCTTTTACCATTTATTATTATATTATTATTTGACTTTAACCTGTTAAAGTCAAATAATATGAAAGCTACATGTCTGGTAATTTTTGAAAATTACCGCACTTTACTTTAAAGCAGCTTTCAAAATTACAATCTATGCTTATGCAAGAACATATTCAGTCTCATATCAGGATATTGATATAATATCGATATTTTGCACAGCCCAAGGCTAAAGTGTATAGAAATTGTGTTTTCAGACACCTTTTCTGGAATTATTCTACTTTTCTGACCTATATATTTAGTTCCTAACTCATATAATCAAGCATAGTTGCTATTATAAAATTGCTTAACCTTGAAATGTTTCTTTTTGTTAATGTGTGTGTTGTTTGAGTTAATTATCTTTATGTCACCTGTCGGCTACATCGGTACAGCCCGCCACACATACAGGGGGCGCTGTGTTATTTCCTCAGCATGACTTAATAAATGTTACCCGGCGGAAGTTGCTGGTTCATCACACAGTTTCAAAGATGGCTCTTGCAAGTGTGTTGAGCAGTGATTGTGCGAAATTTTCTTTTGATAATTGTGAACCTGATAGTTTCGGTTGTGCACCCGGACAGAGCGGTCTTGGATTTGACGCTACGCCGGGAGACGGTCTGAGTTTCTCCGTCAGAAACCCGCTGTGTGCCGTGGATGAGGATGGCGTCGAGAGGAAAATCGAGTTCCTGCATGGAACCACCACCTTAGCATTTAAAGTAAGTTAATTAGTTGCTGATAGTAGTTGGCTGGTATCGTACTGGTACAACGCTAACATATAGTATAGTTGTCAAAATAAGCATTTGTTACGTCATTCAAAGTGTAAACATCATGATTGGGCGTTAACGTAACACTAATCTCACACACATCTCCGACGGTTAGCATGCTAGCAAGGCTACAAACCGCTATCTCACTGTAGATGTTCACATGACGTTAGCTTTGTGATGATTTCTGTTGGACTTTTCTTGCTCCAAAAGCAAGTAGCTATACGTAGATTTATCATTTTTGTGTGTAGCCATGGCAGTTATTTATTTTATAGGTTTCACAAGACTAGCTATTTAGCTGTATTTGCATCTGCATGAATGGGAAACAAGATGACAGTTGTGCAGCATCCACACATAGCTTCTGTCTGGTTCAACTAGATAAATACAGTAAGATTTCTTAACATAAATATGACCTTAAATTGGTTATCAACGTTTTTGTGCTTTCTTTGTGTATTGCGAAATATAATAAAAAGCTGTCAATCCTTTGTTTTCAACCTTAATATTCCATGATATTTAACTGTGCACCGAACGATTTTATATACGTAATTAACGTATTTATTAGTAATATGTATTTTACATATTTTTACAGCAACATATTCCTTTATCGCAGGAAAGAGAAAAGCATACCACATGTTTTATCACAATTATGTTCTCACTTTTATTATTTGTAAATTGAATGGACTATTCTGTAAATGCAGTTTTTCAACACATATCCCAACTTTGAGTTTCCATCATTCTTCATACCAGGTGATATCCATATGATTTCAGAACAAGGCATACATTCAACTGGAGGAGTAATGCATGTTTTTGAAATAGTCCAACTTCAAGATGCCAGTTTAAACAATATTTGGTTTATGAAAAATGTTGAGAAAAGAATCACTATTGCTATGAATACTTAAGGAAGGCTTTATAAGATAATTAAAGTGATACCAGATGTGTTTACTTTTCACTGTAAGAATAGCTGGAAGCTATTATTTTTGTAACATCATCAAAAAGTCCTATGAAAGTGGCAGAACCAATAATTAATTCATGCTACTAACAAGATAAAGTCTAATATATGAGCTGCTTTTTTGCCCACAAATCACCATTGTTGCCAAAAAGGTATAAAGACCACAACACAAAGATACTATACACATAATACTGCATTGTGTGATTATATGCTTTTATTGCGCGGAAAGCAGCCAGCTTTTTCCACTCCGCCAGGCTCACAAGCAGAGCACTGTAAATACTGAACCAACTCCCTGCAGTAGGTTTTGGTCTCTTCAGGGGATTTGTTGATAAAAAGGAAAGATAAAATAACGCCAACTTTATCCCTTAATCCCTGAGTGCCAGTAGATGAAAACCTCCCCGGGAGACATTTCCCAAATCTGTTGTCTTCACTTCAGTGCTAGAGGATTTTAGAGGGGAGAGCAAAGGTCTTCCATCTTATTCAGTGACTTTCTGGCAGAGCCTTATATTGTATCTCTGACAACAGCATCACATATCTGCTTTGTCTGGAATAAGCTAATAGAGTGGTGCACATTCATGATACTTAGATGTTTTGTTCAGCAGGATAATCCTCACCTCAAATGAAATAGCCTGAAAGCTAACGTTAGGCTTGAAATGTACTCCATCATAGTTGCAGGATGTCATGTCTCCACTGCTCAGTTAAAGGTGGACTTGTGTTTGGTGTGATGTTAAGTAGTCTCATCTAGTCACTAGATAGCAGCCACCACCATTTTCATGACACATGGAGGCTTCAGGAGTGGGGCATTTATTGCGATAGTTTTTTCCCCCCTGCAAACCATCCTTTCTTGAACTTTCATGCTATACAATTGGTATTTTTTTAAATCGCACGTCCTGCGATGTGAATATCGTGCATGCGCATATCACGATTATCGTCACGACACGATATATCGTCCAGCCCTAGTACACAATGATCCATCAGTGATTGCTCTATGTGTGTGTTCCCCTCCTGCTGTGCTTCATTAATGTGTTCCCCCTGCTGTTTGCTCTCAGTTCCAGCATGGCGTCATCGTGGCGGTGGACTCCAGGGCCACAGCGGGCGCCTACATCGCCTCGCAGACGGTGAAGAAGGTGATCGAGATCAACCCCTACCTGCTGGGCACCATGGCTGGAGGAGCCGCAGACTGTAGCTTCTGGGAGCGCCTGCTGGCCCGCCAGTGCCGAATCTACGAGCTCCGCAACAAAGAGCGCATCTCTGTGGCAGCCGCCTCCAAGCTGCTCGCCAACATGGTGTACCAGTACAAGGGCATGGGCCTCAGCATGGGAACCATGGTGTGCGGCTGGGACAAGAGAGGACCAGGTAAATATAAGAGCTATATATATATGTGCATATATCCCACTTAAGGATATTAACCAAAATTACATTTCTACTAAAAACAAAGTATAGTAGGTTAAAAATATCATGAATAAAAAAATACTTTTTTTTTCTTTTCGAAAAAGTCATAGCATAGTATGTCCACGAAGTTAACATTACGGATTTGGTGTTTATTAGTATGCTATTGAGGAGGGGAGCCATTTAAATACTTAACCTGTCTACAAACCTTCTATGAAGATACTAGGGGTGTAATGGTTTACAAACATTTTGGTTCGGTACGTACCTCGGTTTCACTCAAATAAATACAAAATATAATAAAATAAACTTTAAGGTGCAGCATTTCGAAATGAACTGAAATAATCTGTATTTGAACTGTTCCGTTACTAGTACCTAAGCACGCCAGTTTGACATTATGACTTGCTTGTCTTGGTATTTTCATTTTTTTAAAGAAAAATGTACTTCTCCACATTGCCTGCCGGAAGGGCACGATCTTTGATTGGCACTGACAATGGTCTCCTGGCTGTGGAAGAACACCCTCTCGCTAGGGACAGAGGTAGCAGAATTACAGCCAGGTGCGGCTTTGCTAACATGACAACATAAGGATATTTTGGCGTTTGTAATAGCTGGCTCGGTCTGAACTGTTTTGCGAAGTGGTGGAGCTTAAATGCTGCGGGAGTTGGGTTTGCACTTCAGTCTTTTTTCTTTTGGTACCCGGTGATATTCCACGTTTCAGGTGATGCCTTTTCAAATGAGTGTGCAAGTTTGAATGTATATGCAGCCGCGTAACCAATTTTAGATGAACAATGCGACAAACAGCTTTGGTTCGGTCCACCTGTCTTCATCCTTGTACGTAACTGCGGAACAAAATGTTCCCAAAACCGGAGACTTCCAATGATGCTGGAGGATTTTCGACTAACTTTATCTGCGTTCGCCCATTTCGCCAGCTTCCTCAAATTACACACTTTGAAAAGAGATCTATGATCTCAATGGGACCAATCTGGGATAAATTAAAGGTTAGCAAACAAAACATTTGAACGCATTCCTGTGGGACCAGCTTCTCATAGTAATGCCTCTCTGTCCAATGAAATGACTTGGTGCGCTCTGACGCTTTGAACCAATTGTGTGCAAATTACTCTGAATGCTGCCAGACGCCAACGGAGATACTTCCAAAAAGTTGTTCCGTTTCTCAAATTTTCT